CAAACCATAGATGGGTTGATGCAGACAGATTTTATATTGAACTGAATATTGTTAACTTGACTGAAGCTAGAAATGTAAACTAATGAATCCCAACTCAGTGGTTTGAAGAGTAAGCACTCCACAGATGGTCAGAATGATCTAAGTTTGATCCCTGAGGGTCATGAATGCCCGTTAGTGAGGTATCACATACAAAGATGAAGTAGCTCTCCAGTGCTTCTTGGTTTACAGTAATCGCATAACTAAGGTTCATCCATGAAGTGAAACTACTAAATATCAGGTACTCGGTTAGAGACTACAGTCGTACTGTGCATACTTTAATGTACATGGAAAATGGCGTAAGTTTTTCAGCCTTGGCCAGTTTTTTTACCCATGTCTAATCTTAGTAGGGAGAATCTCTTTCACTGCTTAGTGTCATTTATAGATCACCATTTTCTATTCGGAATAATGTCCATAAAAAATTTATCCAATGAAAATGTAAAATGTCGAAACCATTGCCGCTAACTTTGATTGTCAAACATTGTATGTGGATGAAAAATAGATGAAAACTAAAATCAAACTCAAATTCGAAGGTTGTTGATCATCTAATAACCTTGATACTCTACCAACTCAGATTTTACTTCAGTTTGGTTAAACATTAAGAAAAATCGTATGGTATAATAGAAATTTTAGTGTAAAAAATCTGTGATATTCCGAAAAAAAAACATTTAAAAAGATTTTCTAATTATAGATTCTAGAATTTTGTAACTTCAATTATACACTATAGTTTACTTTACAGAGCAAAGGTTATCATTCTGTCCGGTACTAACTTAATATTAAGTACATTATGAAATGCAATTCACTGGGTTAAGATTCTGAAACACTGACTAATAAAAGGAACATAATAATGTACAACGAGATGTACGTTAACCTAAAGATAAAATTACTCTAATATGACGAACAATAGATTCACAAATGATACTAGATGAGAACCGTGCTGTATATCAAAATAATTGTAGTAGGAAATATTGATTATCGAATTTCAACTTAGTGGTTTATTACTATCATGTTCATCACGAAAATGGTATGGCAGAATCATCAATAAACAAGAGGGATCTGATTTGGATGCAAAGGAAGGGATCGGTAAAGCTTATGTAGCATTCCTACAACTGAAAAACATATGGAACTCAAAATAACTGTCTGTTAACCAACATCCATATCACAATCTTCAATACGAACGTCAACACAGTTCTATTGTATGAAGCAGAAACTCGGAGAACTACCACAATCATCATCAAACAAGTACAAGTATTTACAAACAGTTGTCTACGTAACATACTCAATGTCCGTTGACCGGATATCATGAGCAACAGTCTACTGTGGGAGAGAGCAAACTAACTTCCAGTTGAAGAGGAAATTAGGAGAAGACGTTTGAAGTGTATGGGATACTTATTGAGGAAATCACCAAATTGCATCACGAAGCAAGCGCTAACTTGGAATTCTGAATGGAAACGGGAAAGCAGAAGGTCGAAGAACACACTGTGCCGGAAAATAGAGTCAGACATCAAAAGAATGAATAGGAACCGGAAACAAGTGGAAAGGATTGTCCAGGAAGGATTTGGATGAAAAATGCTAGTGAGCGTCCTATGTTCTTCCACGAGGGTTAACAGGTGTAAGTAAGTAAATATTAACGAATGTTTAGCATACGTTATTTTGTAAAGTTCGAAACGTAACCTAAATCATGATCAGGAGAATAGGGGTACAATGTGTATGAATAAACGTAGTTAAGATCGGTGTATATTTATATGTTGAGAAATAATAATTCAGAGATTATGTAAATATAATGCAATTAGTAAGTGTTTGGGATATCGCTCAATCAATGGTATAATTTTCGTCCTTTTTTATCGCCGTATAAAGGATAACTGGATTAGTTACAGAATCGTTTGTCATTAAAAGTTATTTTGAAAACTTAGTAAATTCTCTTGATATTGTTTTACTTGAATCTTCCCATTGGTGTTTTAGGACTGAAATTGATCAGTCTCTTATTGGCATATGTGCATACTGTGCGTATGCCTCGATATTGCCTTAATTTACAAGCATTATAAGCAAAGATGGATAGTGGCTAGCAGTGGAACGGTACTGAGTTCGAGTCCCAGAGTGAACATCAACTCTGAGATGCAGGTACATCCAGCTGACGAGTCCCAAACAGGACGAAACGCACGTCCTGGATTCCACTGCTAGCCACTATCCATCTTTGCTTAGTAAATTCTCGCTTACAATTTGAAATATTTTCCTACAATAGGACGAAACGGCCATCCAGTGCTTCCAGGTTTTCGATGATGGTCTAGCTTTAATCGACTCATGAATTCAAATACTAAATATTTCATCATTTCATTGCTGATAGTGATGATTTGATTTTATTTGTACTATTAATATGTGTAAATGTAAATTACAAATAAGACTTTATATTTTCATTTCAGAAATCATACTTAAGGTAGACAAATTTATTATTAAAACTATCAATATTGAATACTTTTATTGATATTTAATTTTTTAAAGTTAATATTTCCGTTAAATCAAAATGAAGAGTTTTGTACTGGTTTTGCATTCGAGGCACGAATTACTACATGATATATGTATATTGAAGCTAGACCACCATGGAAAAAATGGAAGCACTGGACAGCCGTTTCGTCCTATTGTGGGACCCGCCTCGCGGGATTTCAACCCAGGACCTATCAGTCTCGCGCCAGGCGCCTAACCATTGGACCACTGAGCTGGCCGGTATCCAACGGTGTTAATGTCTAACTTCAACCAATCCACGAAGTTGCACTACCATATATCTCACAACAGACCTGGTTGGACTCCACTGGTCACGGTCCCTCACTAGAACTCCAAGTTTAAATAGTACAACGGAACAATTCTAATATTATGTAATCAATCAAAAAACAGGTCTGAATAAATCAATGTCATGTCATTTCGGTCAACGTGATTCATAAGCGACATGTATGTAGATTTGTGTGTGTGTGTGTGCACTGTAAGAATGAAAATTGTGTGACATTTATGGTGAGAAAGGATAGAGTTTAATTTGTAAAATGATAATATGAATTGTAATTAATATCAGACTAGGTGGCTAGGATAGATATTCGAAGTTGGATGTATAGTGAGGCCTTTTTTTCTTTTGACAGAAGTAGGATTAAGCATTATATGGAACGCTTCAGGTACTCTCCTTTCTTTGTAATTGGAAAAGCCTTTTTGTAAATTTTTGATATTTTTGAAATCGATTTAGTGGTTGTTGAAAATGTCGTGAACTGCTATTGCCGACTTAATTGAAGTCTATCCAGTTCTACGGAATTTCTCTATGTACCTAATATGTTCTTTGGCACGAGTCAAGATTTCGCGAGATATCTCTTCAATATAGAAGGCATCACAATCGACACAACCTAATTTGTAGACGCAGTTCTTTATTGACATGAATGGGATTTTTCCTTTTAAGCAAACTAAAGTATTTCGAAGTGTGTTCGTTGTTTTGTAATGTACTTTAATCCTGTGTTGTTCTAAGATTTTTTGAAGTTTTTCTGTTATACCATGACGGTATGGTAAAACTGCAGTATCAATCCATGGCGATTCATTCGAATTATTATTATTATTATTACGCACTGAAACGTCTAGTTTTAATAAACTTCTAATAATCTTCATAGCAAAATTATTAACCTGTAAGATAATAATTACATTCTTTTGTTCTTTTTGTTTGTCCTCTTCTGATGTGATGATTTTGTTAGCTCTTCTAAAAAGATTTAAGGCTAGCAAGATCTTAGCACTGAAAGGATTTGCTGAATGGAAGTCAATATGGCGATTAGAGTGCGTCGGTTTTCGGTAAATGGATAGGTTTAGACTTCCATTTGGATTTCTTTTTACTAAGCAATCCAAGAATGGTAGCTCACAACGTTTATTTTCATTCTCTTCCGTAAATTTGATGTGAGATGAGAGTGTATTGGTCCGTTTTGAAAAAGATTTTAGATGAGTCTTTTTTATCACAACAAATGTATCATCTACATATCTAAGCCAAATTCGTGGTTTATTGTCGTTGGCGAAAATATTTGATTCTATATGTGTCATAAAAAGGTTGTCTACAATCGGGAACACGGAGGATCCCAACGCTACGCCGTTAGTTTGTTTGTATAGCATCCCGTTAAAAGTGAATAGAGTCGAATTTAAGCAGAGTTTTAAGGATCTCATGATTAGACTGATGCTTAAAGGACATCTCTCAGAAAGAGTATTGTCGTTCTCTAGTAAACCGCTAATCAATTCTAAGCATTTATCAATAGGAATACTAGTGTATAAAGAAACGACATCAAAGCTTACCATGACTTCATTTCTCTCGATAATTAATTCCGATAATTTTGATGTTAAGTTATATGTATCTTTAATCATATTATGTAAGTTAAGCTTGATTGATCACATAATATTCTTATTGTTCCGTTGTACTATTTAAACTTTGATTAATTTTAATTTGGTTATTTATCCTCTGAAGAGGTGGCTTACATTAAGTCACGAAACGTCAGAAAATCTAATTTTCCTAGTCATTGGGATATTACAAATATACTTATTTATTTATAACAAGCTACTCAATGCTCAATTTATTTGAAATGATCAAATCAAACCTTAGTAATGATACCTACAAAGTAAGATTATATTTTAGATATACTCATAATTTTTGAAAATGTTCACCTTTAATAGATCAGTTCCAATGAAATCTATTCCCAATAGATAAAACGACATTATATAATTCTTCAATGTAAATACTGATATTACATAATCAGAAAAGGATTTTCATCAACAAAAAAAAAACGATAACATGAACTAATCGGAACAAAAAAGAAACGAAAAAAAGAAAAAAAAGCTTATTATTAATATTACATTTTATGATTTATAAATACATTAAAGAGAAAACATTAATACAATATCATTATTGATTATTAAGATTTCCTAAAACAAACAAACAAACAAACAAAAAAGAACGAAAAAAAAGAGAAAAATTTCTTTCCATTACACAATTACGTAACAGTAAATGATAATTTGTACAAATTTTAGAGAACAAAAAAAAACACAAAAAAAATAGCATTAACGAAGAAGAATGTATTGATGAACATCTCATTGAATGGATCTTAAATGAATTCAACATTTCATTTCATAATCTAATCTATACTTTGACAAATACATTGATTTCTATTTAGTTAAAGAAAGAAGAAAACGGATCAAAACATAACCAATCGAATAGAATTGATTGATCACTATGATTATTATTTGTTGTTGTTGTTGTTATAGGATAAATTGGATGCCATTTCACATGTAATTGATTAGGTAATTGAATCATTTCATTAAAATGTTTCATACTTTTTAATTGTAGCGCATTTAAACTAATAGATAATTCACCAATAATTTTTTTAATTAACCATTTATGAATTTGTCTTAATTGTATAATAATATATAAATGTTTAATATATTTCTCTTTTATTTTAAATGATATTGTTTTATTAAAATATGGATTGATTAATTCTTTACGTGATTCTGTTTTATATTTATGTAATAAATGATTATTATATTTTATATAAATAATCAGATCTAATTCAGTTGCTAGGGCATCGATTAATTTCCCCTTATCATTATTATTAGTAGTAGTATTAGTAGTATTATTTAAGATTAAGTTTTTTATTTCAAAGATACATAAATCTATACGTGATGTATCTGTATAATAACCTAAACCAATACAGATTTCACCAATATTATTTGGATAAATTCTATTATTCATTAATAACCAATCAATTTTTTCATAAAATTTCCCAATATATTCACTATGATTAATTTGATTTAATGGAATCAATAAATGACCTAAAAATTGATCAATATATTGATTATTATAATGAAAGATTTCTAATAAAATAATAATACATTTTAATTGATTTATTGATAATTTATATAAGAATGATTGATTCCAACATGGTTTATTCGAATTATATATGATATTAGTAGTATATTTTTTATTTATAGATTGAATTGGTTTCATCATTTGTAATTGTGAATTATTGTTTTTATATTTAATTAATGAAATTGTAGCATATGGATTTAATGGTTCTTGTTCATTAGTTACTAGTAAATTATTTGCTTGGACAATGCAAATCTTTAATTCTTCTGTATTTAAATTATAATTTAATGAATATTCTATTGTACCATAATTAAGTAATTCATTATTATCATTATTATTATTATTATTAACCTTGATTAAACCTGGTATATCATCTATATAGATTGGTTGTTCTCTTTTTTTATAGACTTTTGGGATATATTTTTTATGCATAAATGTACGTATATATAAAATTAATAATATAATGAATGTTAAACATAGAATACATATGGTTATCAATATAAATATAGCTAATGGTATACTGGATACATGAAATAGTTTGGTTAAATTTAATAAAAATTGATTATTTGATAATGGATCAAGTTGATAAGGTAATGTTTGATTTTCATTATTTATATTTATAGTACTAGTAGTAGTAGTAGTTGTAGTATTAGTAATAGTAGTATTAGTAGTAGTATTAATCATTTTTATTTAATTTGATAAATTTCAATAATAAATAAATCCGATTAATTAAATAATTTTTTTTGGTTGTTGTTTTAAATAGTATCCAAGTGATATATTTCTTATAAGAATTAAAATAAATTTAAATAGTTTCCAAGTGGAAAGTTGCTTTTTTGTGACAGTTTTGTTTTTTGTTTTTTTTTGAAAAAGAAAAGAATTTATCACTTATTACTGATTGGTTAATAATTTTAGGAATCTGATTGGTTTATAATTCAGATGAGTCATAAAAACGAATAGATGATTATTAAGATAATTATTGACATAATCAGAGAGGGGTTTTAATGAATATTCTAATATCACTGGTTGAAATCATGAATCAGTTGAAGCTAGACCACCATGGAAAACCTGGAAACGCTGAACGGCCGTTTTGTCGTACTACTGGACTCCTCAGCAGTGCGCATCCGTGATCCTGCCCCCCGCGAGGTTCGAACCCAGGACCGACCAGTCTCGCGCCAAGCGCTTAACCAACTAGACCACTGAGCCGGCATCCAATGGTGTTAATGTCTAACTTCAACTAATCCACGTAGTTGCGCCACCGTACACCATTGTCTTCAGTGAGTTGATATCTCACAACAAACCTGGTTGAACTCCACTGGTAACGGCTTCTCACTAGAACTTCAGGAAATGCCTCTTGAAGTCAGCCACTAGTGAGCAGGTGATTATTATTATCAGAATAGGTTTTGCGGAGATCTCGCGGGGGTGTGTGTGGCGGGATCGTGGATGCGCATTGCTGAGGAGTCCCATACTACAACGAAACGGCCGTCTAGTGCTTCCAGGTTTCCCATGGTGGTCTAGCTTCAATCGACTCATGATTTCAACCAGTGAAATTTCTAAAAATCTCTACAAAACCCGTTTGAATATTCTAAGAATTTATTAGTTGATTTTGTGAGTTCATGGAAAAGCTGGAAGATTTTCTATTACGGTCTGGCTTTAATTGACTCATGAATTTAATTATTAAATTATTGGTATCTTATATTATTTGTGTTTTTTTAACTGAATAATTTTGACAAATCAATTATAAACTACGAACATATCCAAGTTAGACAACTATTGAAATTCTGGAAGAACTGGATGGTGTTTTCGTTCTAGTATGCGACTCCTCGGTGATGATTATTCACAGTCCTACACACAGGAATCGAACCTAATACATGTGATTTTCATACAGATAACTTCCCTTATTATCTTAAAGAGAACAAGATTGGTGCAGAATAATATGAATTCACTTTATTCCGTTAGATTCTCATCAGCTGCTTACAACCTAAAATAATTGAAAATCGACGTTATTACAGATACTGACCAAAGAAATTATAGCAAACAAAAACCTATTTTTATTCAACTTAAATTTAAACATGATGATGTCAAAGAGTCAATCAATATGAGACTAAAAACTGCATTGGAAAGAACTTATCCTACACCTAAACTGATTGTCCTGTCCAAAACAACATGTTCTTTAACACAATCAAAGTTTCATAGGTATCCCTTTCATATGACCACCAACTCTTTATACAAATTTACGTGTATCTGCCAAAGTAGTTACGTCGGTAGAACAGAAAGGAGAGCCTACGTCCGATTCAAAGAACATATTTCGAAAAGTTTAAGATCAAGTGGGATAAAAACATTCAGCAGTGCCATCGCGAAACATCTCCTTGACACAGAATATGAAGTCGATACACTGAAGTCCTTCAAGCTGATTAACAAACAATCAAACTCCAACCTTTCGAAATTTACCGAAGCGATAGCAACCAAACGTCTAAAACCAGATCCAAAAAGGGACAGTAATAAATCTTTCATTGTCCTGGTAACATTAAACCCCCTTTTCATTTATTATGTCACTAGTTATTTCAACTCTATCAGAAGTTTGATTACATCATTGTTATTTTTATTCAATTCATAACTGACTGATTTCAATTCATATTTTTCTTTATTACCATCAATCTATTTTCAGTTTGTTCATTACGCAATCATCTAATGTTTGTTAACTCCATGAGTTCTACTCACTAGTTCAATGTTCTGGAACTTTCCCTCCAAAACTTTATTTATCCAAAACAAAATTTTTATAAACGTATTAACTCTATTGAAATCTTTGCTACATCATAATACATATATTCATCTTTAATCACCCTCTTATGTGTAAGTATGTCAATATCTGTAATAACGTTGATTTTCAAATATTTTAGGTTGTAAGCAGCTGATGAGAATCTAACGAAATAAAATGAATTCATATTATTCTGCACCAATCTTTGTTCTTGTTCTCTTTAAGATAATAAAGGGAATTATCTGTATGAAAATCAAATATATTAGGTTCAATTCATATTATTCTACACTTGGTTATGCACGCAAACTTTTAGTCTTTTGGCCATTGAGCCGGCATACAATGCCGTTATTTTCCGAAGCATTTACCTACCAAACATAATGAAAGATGGTCGCCCAGCATCATGGATTGACTTTGGTTATACATTAACACCTCTGAATGTTTGCTCGATGGTATAGAGGTTAAGTATTTGCATACGAGCCATCAGGCACCGAGTTCGACTCCTGATTGACGCGCTGTGAATTCGCACTCCTGAGAGTAGAACCAAACGGCCACCCAGTGCTTTCAGGATTTCAATCGTGGTTCAAATAACACAGTTCCCTGATTTCATTGAGACATACAAATACTGTTAACCTTAAAATTCTATATTACATATATGAAACTGTCATATTTGTTTTCTAAAGAATCGGCTTACACTACCTCACGAAATTTCAGGAATTTAATTTTCCAATATTTGGAGCCTTACAAATATGTTATTTCTACTATTAATGTGTTATCTTGAATACCAGAAAGATATGTATATGATTCTACAAGTAAACTTTCAGTCAACAACATCTTTTAACGGCTTGTACATAATACGTTAACCTTGATGAAGCTACTCCAGATTTTAAATTATGAATCAGATGATTAATAAAGCAACTTATAACTTGAAAAGTTACTTATTCATATTGTTTCAACTACTGAAAATCATTTAAGTAACTACTATAGTTTAGTTTAAATAAAGGTATATGAAAACTCCGTTTGTTACGCTCGCATAACAGTAAGAGCAGTTATCACAACATAAAAACCGACCTATTAATGATATAACTATCAGTGATTTTAGTTTACATCAACCTCCTTTTTTGAAAAATTTGTTTTATTTGACACTATTTAAAATCCAGATTGCAGAAATTATATTAAAAACAACTAATATATTGGAGAAATAAAAATTTCAGTAGGGGATTATACAGTTAAAAAGTAGTTGTGCTTAAAAGAATTATAAACTGGGCAGTGTCCATTTACTGAATATTGTGCAGTGATGATAAGATATGACAAATATTAACAATATATACAATTAACTTGGGACACAATAAAAAAATTCCCAGAAGCTGTAAGCTTTGCGACGTGGTCAATGAAAATATCTACTATACTGTATTCTTAAAGGACATTAATTTACTTTAAAAGAGCTGTTGGTGGGATCCACGTCGTTGATTTTATCCCATTTGGAACTAATCGGACGAATGTATCTGGTTCTTAGTTTCAGTATCCATATCGGGATTCGAACCCCTTACCTTTCAATTCAAAGTCTAATGCAACATCCACTTAGTTACTGATCCATAACCTATCCATTCTATGAAAATATATGAAAAAATGGCTGAATCAATGCAAGCTATACTAAATGTACACATCAACAAAGACTGATAAAAATTCGGTTCTGAATATCAACAACCAGTTAATAAAAATCCTAATTACATTAATTTACTCTGTTTAGACAACTACATATTTCTTTACTGCTAACAGACAACATATCATGCTAATATTGCGTCATTCAATTTTATTTCTAGTAATATATCTACAATAATGTATCTAAAACAGTTCATTCCGTTTAGGTAAAGAATTTTAAAAATGTCTACTTCTAACTACTTCACTTAATATGACGTTGGACGGAGTGTTTTTTTTTCAGTATCGGGAGGTAATTTTTATGTTTCAGTGGAAAAAACTAGATAGTATTGATCTATTTTCATAAAAGAGATGGATATGAAGTTGTAATGACTATGTGGTGTATGCTACTCATGTCGATAGACTAAGTAGTATGTAACACTAATAGAATATGGAAAAGCTTAGCAGAAGAAGGTTATGAAGGTAGATTTGATGGAAACAGAAACGGAATTAATGTATTGTTTTCATTTTTCACCAAGATACTATGTAATTTTGTTTGTCTGTGTTATAACCACAGTTCAATTCCAATAGACATCTACTAGGTGACATGATATATATATATATATATATATATATATATATATATATCATATATCATATATTTTTCTCATCAATAAAACATCAGGTAGGTGGCTGCTAGGACTCAATAGCAACATAGATAACGCGATGGCGTTTGAAGCAAACGGTGCTAGGTTCGAGTCTCAGAGTGAAAGTCAACTTCGAGATGCAAGTACATCCAACTGACGAGTCCCAAATGGGACAAAACGCACACCTTGAACTCCACTGTTAGCCACTATCTATATTTGCATATAAAACATCAAGACTGTTTACAATTTTGACGTTGGTCAGTCTTTTTTTGTTTTCACCATGAAAGTAATTTGAAATTGTACATAACAGCTTTTACAGTTGTTTGTTTGTTTATTCTATGCAAGAATGCCATGAAATTCAAGTGTTAGGTCAAATAATATTCAATTTATTGATTTCAGAATGAACTTTGTTGCTCGATTAGGTCGTTTTTTGTTATTCAAGTTGATGTACGTGGAATCGATTATTAAAAGAAGTTATAGAACACTAACATTAAATTTTTAGTTTGTCATTTAATGTCTGAATGAATCATCAACAACTAGAACATCTCTTAACTGAATATATGATATCACTTTCTTATGTAAATGTATCTAAAATAAAATAATTCTCATTTCTGGGAAAGATATTCAATAAGAAATATAGGTGTAACAGTTAAAGGTTAAATTCTACTTTTTTAAAATCATTTGTCTAATTATCAGACTTACAAATCAAATCTCTCGTGGATTGGTTGAAGTTAGACGTTGACATTGTTAAATGTCGGCTCAGTGGTCTAGAGGTTAAGCGCTCGTTCACGAGACCGAA